TGTCAAGCGGTTGACAAGATACAGCAAATTTAATTTGGACCTGGTTTCTCAAAATGACCCGGTTTTCATAACATTCTGAAAAGTTGTTTTCCTCAATAAAATAAGAAATAAAAATGGCAAAAATATAAAAATATACATTTATAATGGTTTTTTAATGCTGAATTCAATAAATGTACTTAAAATGCTGAAATGTTAGAGGAACATCCTTAAAAATTAATAAATCAACTAGTTTATATAATCTAACTTTAGGGCCCAATATCTTAAAACACCCCCGTCAAATTTTTTTTTTTTTTGCTTTCAATATTTTAAGCTAGTTATAATCTTACTAGGCACAAAAAATCTAACTGGAAAAAAAACTGAAACATATAGAACTTTAATTTTAAAGATGTATAACTTTTTTAAGAAATTCCTAAAAAATTTTTATAAATTCAATTAAAATAAATTATTCCTAATTTACAAAGTTACTTAAATATACAAGATTTTTAAAGGTATCGAATGTGCAAGTTATTTTGACTGTATTTGTAATAGTTCACAATATTGTTGCCATTTTACTTGCACTTCTTCTATTTCAACATTTTCAAACACATAGTTTCTACCAGAACTAGAGCAAGCTTGTGGAACAGATAGTTTTTTCAATATATTGATGTTAGGAATAAAACAGTGATCGTCTCTTTCAGGCCAGTTAAAATAGATTGATGGACCTCTTGGGTGGAGAAACTTAACTTCAGCATCAACTTCTTCTAGGTTGATTTCAGTAACAATGCCGATCCACCACTTATCATCATAAACTACCGCAACATAACCTCCTAAAGTGACAGTATCAGGTTCAAATATATGTTTCTTTTTAAGATTGTGAATTATTGTATATTTAGTGTCTGTACTACACCTCTTCGCCCCAACCCTATTATCTCCAAGATGTATAAATTGATGAAAGCTACGAGTACCTGGTAGAGTTGTTACATCAGTGTACCTTTCTTTTTGCTTTTCACGTTGCAATTGTAAGTCCAATCCCTTTATGTAAATGAAGTTAACAGCCTTAATTTTCTCAACACAAAATTCATACATAGCCACTGATGTGAGAATTTGGTTTCTGTATGGTCGTTTTAAACTTTCTTGTGCTGTTAACCTTTTTACAGTACCACCAATTCCATCGCATGGTGACTTTCCGTGGGACGTGGCAAAAAAGTTCCATTCAATTTTGAGGGAAAATTCTGTCTCTAGTTGGCATAGATTGTAAAAGCTTTTACAATTTTTGTACTGTCCTGCACAACCATCAGTGAATAAATGCAATTTGGATAAATCAAGAAATTTTGTTTTTAATATTGGTATAATTAGTTGAAATATCTTGTATACATAAGTTACATCGTGTGTAATGTCGTCTGATATAAAACAGTAAGAAATATGTTTCACTACACCATTTTCTTCTTTATAGTATATCACTAATGGATGTAAAGAACATTGTTGGGTGTTCCAGTGATAGCTCTGTATTTCATCTTGGACTACAAAAGCATAATTTTCAGCAAAGTCGCCAAGAATGATAATGTTTGAATTATCCATATTTTCTTTTAGTTGATTAAGGTATTGTGATTGAGATTTGGCAATATAAGAATGAGATTGTAGCTTTTCAAAACAAGATACCAATAGTTCAATAAACGTTGGAACATCTGTTGTTAAACTCAATAGTGTTGCACGATCAGTAGTTTGCCATTGTTTGTAGTGTATCTCAAAATCATCTTCGTATTCTCCAAAAATCTCATACAAATACATGGTGAGCAGTTCTTTACCAAGACAATTATCACACTGTGCAAGCATGCATTCTTTGTTTTCTACTGAGCAAACAGTTTTCAAAAGTAAATCCTTATACGTTAGTTCAATATTTAAGGCACTAGCAAAATGGCATTTTGGTGATAAGAACAAACACAAACAGAATGTGTACCACTTGCACCTCGCAAAATGCACCACTTTGGTCTAAGTGAAGCAAATTTTGAGTAACTTATTTGTATTTCTGGATTGTTTTCTTTGTATAATACATATAGTTCCTTTAAATTACACAAAAGCAGGTTTTTTTGTTTGTGGACGTTCTTTTGAATGCTGACATAATCTTTTTTTCCAGGCATAGTTCGACATAAATCACTTGAGTCATAAAACAATTTAACTGAATCTTCTATTTCTTTATGTAAGACTTTACCCTTATACAATGGAGAGATACCTAACAATCCCTTTTTATTAAAAGTTTTTCTAGCCATCTTGGCCTGGTATTCTGTAACCGAAAAGTTATTTTGTACTTCTAATATTGACCAACTTGGGGGTGCCAGTGTTAGAAGTTGAACAATAGTTCGTTTGTCAGAACATAGAATTTTTTCTTTTACCAAGCTCATAATTTCATCAAAGTTTGCAGCCTTCTTTTTCATCCCATTGGTTTCATAACATAGTTTTGAGGAAAATTGAGTTTCAATTTTTCTAGTAGCGTTATACGCCATTTCGTTGATGCATGCAACTTTTTGCTTTCCTTCTGACAGTATATGTTTTAATGATTTTGAATGAGATTTTAGAGGAGATTAACTAAAATTTTTGAGTTCTTTATTGATCTCATGTCTTATTTTTTTGCATGGTGATATTAGAAAATCCTCATCTTGTTCACTCTTACTTTGCTCCTCTTCTGTAAGTTCTTTTTTTCTGGCAATCTTTTGTTTACAAGGTTTGCAAAGTTTCTTCCCAGGAGGAATATTCAAACAATTTCTCATCATGACTTGTGACTCTTTTATTGTAACTACGCCAAGATTTTCTAAAAGTAATTGAATTGTATAAAGTATGTCTGCACATTAGTTCAAAACTTTCGTTTATTTTTTGAAAAACATAAATTAATGAAATATTTAAATTTTACAGCTACATACTTGTGATTTTCTTTGTATGTCTATTGAATGGATCACAACAAGCTTTCTGCCATATAGGATACATTTTCAAATATTTTGTATTATGTCTTTCACATAATATTTCTAAGTTTGATAATTCAATATTACAGCGTAAAGATATAATTATTTTTTCTTCATTGCTTAAAGTTTCAATAACATCTTGTTGGCCTTCGCAAGCATCTGATGTCATTAACCCAATAGAACACATCTTAATAAGATAAATTATTTAGTATGAAAGTATTTCCTAAAAATAAAAATAAAATTCTTCTACTTAATTGTATGTAAAAAAAAGTTTTTTAATAAATATAATTTTTAATAAATGTTGTTCTTAATATTATTATTATTAATATTAATAAATGTTGTAAAAAAAGAAGTTTTTAAATAATTATATTATTTAAATTATTAATTTTTTAAAATTTAAATATAATCTTACCAATAAATGTTGTTCTATATCTGAACTTTTATAAACTAAACTTTTATAAACTAATTTTTAATAAACTTTTACAAACTATAGTTGTCAAAATTAAAAAAAATATCATATTAACATAACAATTATTTTTTATAAAATGTTTTTATATATAAACAAAACCAGATGTTTTTTCAGTTGTTAAGTTCATATAATTAAGTTATCATATAATTAAGACTTCCTTAAATATATAAAAAGTCTATTAACCAAAATTAATTCTTTACAGAATTCTATAATTTGCTACACATGTACTATCTTTAGCCATACCCTTTTAATTTTTTAATTAGTTTGCAATGAAGTGTATTGAATGCTTTTGCAGTAAGAAAAAAGCAATTCGAAGGATACAAAAAAAAAAAGATCTTTCCTACTTAGTTTTCAGTAAAAAAAAAAGCTCTAGTTTTAAATATATTAAATAATGATATAGTATTAGATATTTCCAAATCTTTGGCTGTAGGATAATTGGAGCTTGATAAGAGATAACAATGATGTCTCAGTGGATTTAATCCTACTTTCTATTTTTTAACTCATCTACAACTTATCACTACTAAGTAACTACTGTTCATACAAAGTAGTTTGATATGTTTTATTGGCTAAATGGTTTAAATGACAGAGATATGGCAATGCCAGGTGTTATGAAACACTATTCTCCTCCCCTCTAACTGTAATAAAAAAAAGTTGTTTTCACCATGTCTTTTGCAATTATTCTTGGTAAATTGAACTAAATTAGAACATCACTAAAAATATTTTGTTGTTCCCTCACCCCTCCCCTCCCCCTCGTTAGAAAATAGTTATGGGCACCCATAAAAGTGGTGTATCTTGGAAACTATGGTTCTATATGTTTTAGTTGTTTTTCCAGTTAGGTTTTTTGTGCCTAGTAAGATAATAAGTAGCTAAAAATATTAAAAGCAAAAAAAAAAAAATTTAGACGGGGGTGTTTTGAGATATATGACCCCTAAGTTTGAATATATAAATTAGGTGTGTTTTTAATTTTAAAGCATGTTCTGCTCATATTTCAGCATTCTAAGTGCATTTTTTGAATTCTGCATTATAAAAGCATTATAAATGCTAAATTTCATATTTTTATTTTCATTATTTTTCATTTTATTAGAGCAAACGTTTTTTTAAAATGACGCAGAAACCAGGTCATTTTGGGAAACCAGGTCTATATTAAAACCTTGATATCTTGTGAACGGCTGAACATTTTTGGCTAAAATTTTGCATGTGAACTTTTCTATATGAAATGCAACAGCTAAAGAAGTTTAAAGAAAATATGAGACCTATGGTTCAAAATCTTGAAAAATTTGGGTGATTTGATGTGGAATTACCCCACATACATATATATGTATATATATTAGACCAGCAAATTTTTTTGTCCTAAAAATGGTCAAATAAAATATAAATTTCTGTTAATTCGCAGCTCCATTTTTCCTCTTTTTTTTAAAAAAATCAATTTTTGCAGATGGACTCCTAAAATATTACACAAACATATTCAACATATTTTGATACATATTTTATTTAATAATATAAAATACCATTATATACCAAATATATTTCATATATTTTAGAATATTGCAAAAAATTTCATACATTATTAATTTATTATAAAACAACCAATTTCATACCATCTAGTTTTTCCTTGTTTATTCGAAAACTTAAAATTCGTCTAAAATAGTTGTAGCGATCATGAACTCCAAATATATACAATGATAGTGAATGAAGCAAAGAATTTCCATCATTTTCTGTATTGATTGGACACAAAGGCCGAGCATATTTACACCAATTCAAGTCGCAATTTTTCACTAGTGCTTCTAATTTTATATCATCACAAAGAATTTTCAAATTTTTTTGTTTAATATCATTTGGAATAACAACTGTAGACGTTTTTTCATCCATATCAAAATGTGCCATGTCATTTGATAGAAAAAATTCTGTTTGGAATTTAATATATTTATGAATTTCATTTGAAATTGAGGTACTTGATGAGGATAAAGTTTTTTTCAAAATTCCCCCACTCATTATTGCTGCACTAAAATATAAATACTTTATTATAAATTGTTATTAAAATTATATTGTATTAATATCTTAATAATATTATATTGATAATTATTTATAATTTGTATTTAAGTCATTGTATGTACATCCTTGCATGTTCTACCTATTTAAGTTAGTCAATGTATATATACTCCCATCAATAAAAAATTAACGGCCTTGGGGAGGTGAACTAAAATAATATATAATATATATATATATATATATATATATATATATATATATATATATACAGGGGTGTGGAGTCGTAAAAAGAAAGTAACGACTTCGACTCTGACTCCAGTTGTTGAAATTTTTTGAGTACAACTCCGACTCTGACTCCAACTCCGACTCCAACTCCAAAGCAAAATTTTTGAAAAATTCTTTGAATTCTTTTAAAAATTTTGCCTGGTAAGTTTAAATTTTTTTTTTGACAAATTTATGAAACATTCTGTGCTGTTTAGTATAAACATAAGGTTAATTGAATGTTATGTACATGCATGTGCAATACCAAGAAATTTTACTATCGGAGTCGGAGTCGCGATATTTTTCAGCCACTCCGACTCCGGTAAAATTGTCGCAACGCCGACTCTACAGTCCTGTATATATATATATATACATATATATATATATATATATATATATATATATATCAGGCCTTTTAAGAATCATTACGTAGCTTGCATTTTACCTGCGAAAAGGTTTTGCGTTACGCAAAAACTTTATTCTTTTAGAATATTTAAATTATCATTTGATATCCTTCATGTGACGTTTATTCAGAAGAAAATAAAGTCGTAAGTAAAAGCATTTAACCGCAATTGTAAACTAATAGATTTTTTGTTAAAGAAAAATTTGTTTAACTATTTTTATTGTTGTTGTTGTTAAAAATTAGTTTAAAAAAAATAAGTGTTTTAAGTTTAAACTTTTTATCATATTTAATATTAAGTTTTATATTTCATAAGTTTAAAAACATTCAAATTTAAAAAAAGAAATATTTTCAATTTATTTTATTAAATTTAAATATTTTTTATTAATCATAGTTTTTAGTAAATTTATTAAATTTAATTAAAATTCTTTTATTTAATTTTAAAACAGAGCATTTTAAAATTTTTTAATTTTAAAATGCTCCGTTTTTTTTATGATAAAATTTCCAAAGATTTAATAAATTTAATTCAAGTTACTTTAAAATGTTCGTATTATATATAACTTTATTTTAATTTCAGTTAAGTTTCAGGTAAGTTCCAGTTCCAAATACTGGTCTGAATAATGCGCTGAACAAAAGCGCATTATTTTCCAGATTTCATTTTTCCATTATTTTACAGTTTCATTCATTATTTACAGAAGCACATTATTCATTTTATAACTACAAGGTAATAAATAACGTCAATACAAAAAAGTTCTATTAAACTCGAGTTATAAATGTTATGTTTGGGTTTTCCCTTGCCGTTTGCGAAAGAATTTTCTTTATAAAACAAACCAAAATTCAAATCTATTAAAAATAACGCAATCAGTAAATAAACTCTTTAAAAGCCCAACTTATATTTATTTTATTTTAAAAACAAAACTAGTACTAGAGCTATAAATATAAGATACATAAATTTCAAAATTATAATGATATTTGTTAAAAACAAATTCTGCTTATAACATCTTAAAACTAAAAACACTTTTTTTTTTTTTTGGATTGAGTAAAAAAATAGTAAAAATACATTAGGTTTCACTGTACATAAAAATAAAATATTTTAATGGAAATAAAAATAAAACAAAGCCGAAAAGCAGTAAATTTTGTTTTTTTACAATATTTATTTTATCAAAACCAGTTAGTGCAAACGTTTTTTTTAAAAGGGGAAAACCCAATCTATGTGTTTAGTTGTAAGTACATTTAAATCCCTTTAAGAAAATCAACCATAAACAAGTGCTAAATTTAAATTATTTAAAAAAAAAAAATATTTAAAAAAAAACAACCATAAAACGGATGTTTGAAAGCAAAAAAATTAAGTTTAAATAAGTATAAGATTTTAATACAAGAAGACTTTTTTTTAAACAAACTTTAGTTTTTTTTTTACAACAATATTGTTAAATTTAAAGCTATTTCTTTTCAAAGACTAACAATAGTTTTTGATATCATTTTAAATTTAATTACAATGAAGTAAAAACGCAACTGACGTAATTTAACTTTTAACAATGTAAATATCTTTATTGAGTAAAGTTACATTTATTCTCGTTTTGCTTTTCCGTTACGCAGCAAAATCTTGAAACAAGGCCTGATATATATATATATATATATATATATATATATATATATATATATATATATATATATATATATATATATATATATATATAATATATATATATATATATATATATATATAATATATCCTCATGATTTTAAAAATTTATTGATACTTTTAGGTTCTTCTTATGAAATAAATGCCAACTATAAATTTAAATTACATTAAATGTAGATAATGACATTTATAGCCTATGTTAAAACACATTTTACTCTAACAAAGTTACCCTATTGACAGGTAAATTTGACTGCCACAAATCTATAAAATCCTGAATTTGGTGAATACAGTGAAAATACCACTTTAACTAATTAAAAAGCACCAGTTATGCATAGCTTTTAATATCAGAATAGTTTTGGAAAAATATTTCTTTAAGTCAAAAAAATATATATATTCTTTATCAAAATTGGTATAAATGTTGCCCTGTTTTAAGGAATATAAAAACAGTAAAAAATAATAAAAAAACAAAAACAAAATCATCATTAATTAAAAAATATATTTAAAAAACAATATTTACTATTGATAAACCAAATTTTAAAATCCAAAATATGCACACAAAGCTTTAAATATTTTCATAATAAAAAAAAATTTGATAGAAAAACAAAATAAATAAATAAAAAAAAAGAAGATAAAAGTGTTATAAATTAAAGGAAACTATAAAAAACTTGCGAATTATTTTGCAAGTGTTTTTTATATATATTTAAATAACAAAATAAAGTGATAAAAGATTTAATTAAAACACAGAAAACTGATGACCTAGTAGTGTTATACCAAACAAATAGTTAATTGCAAACATAACTATATTTTTTATGAAAGAAAAGAGGTTAGATCCTTCAAAGTATCAACCAATATCATTAACATTAATAGTATGCAAAATTATGGAAAAAACTATTTGAAATATTATGATGAACCATTTAACTTTAAACAAATTAATAGCTAGTGAACAGCATGAGTTGATTTGGTTTCATTATTGAAACTATGTTTCAAGCTTTAGGGTTACGGTTCACACTCTTACATTCTAGTAAAAACCATTCCTTATTAATAATTAAAAAAAGAACTGCTTTGGATGAATCTGTTTCAGTTTTGAAGGAAATCACAATTGAACTACCTCAAGCTTTAGTTCTTGGTTTACTTCTATTAATTTTTATAAATAATAAATATTTTTAATAAATTGAAATTATTTGCAGATGATACAAAATACATATATTATTAATAAGAAAAAAAAACAGCAACAGAAACAGTTCTTCAAGAAAAATTGTACAAGTTGTTAGGCTGGTCCAGTTGATAAACTAATTTCTTGCGTTACTTTTCTTCTACAGTTATTGGTAGCTGCCTTTCTATAAACCTTTGACGGCAAAATGTTCTGGCTTCTGTCTTCCTATTGGCGGCTGCAGCCAGAGTTTTGTTTGGGGGCAAAATGTTTTTGAGACTGATGCCAATAGGGAGACAGAAACCATTGGTGCCTGCCTCCAAAAGAACTTTTGGAGGCAAAATGATTTGAAGGTCGCATCCAAAATTTAATATTTTGTTGCATATCCATCATGCTAAAACTTTCATTTTACTATCATAACATAAAATTTCTAACTTATTCATTAGAAATTGTAAAAATAATTAAAAAATACAACACCCTTTAATATTCATTAAGAATTAATAAAAAAATTTATTTTGTTAAAATTAATTTGGCTATGAACAAAATGAGGTTTAAAGTCGTCAAAGGTGATCCAAAATATTTTGTTTCTTTTTTTAGATATTAACAGATTACCACTATGTATCTAAGGTGTCATGGCAACTGTCTTCACATACTTTTCCATACTTGCTTTTTTTATTTTTATCAAGAACTATATTAAGTTTAAACATTTCTCACTCTTGAGAACAGTAAAATGTTAAAGTTTACAAACACTTCTGCAGCTTTTTGTAGTACAACTGCCATAAAAAAATTTACCCTGGATGCAAATATTTTATTTATCATCAGAAAACTTAAGTTTTGACCATGTTGCCATTATCCAGGTAGTGAAAGATTTTATACAAACAATTATAAATTGCAAATATAATACAGGTGCATTAATTTTTAAAAACAAAACTGGGGAAAAAAAATAACAACTTTTCAGAAAGCCTTTCATAACAGATATTTTAAAAAATGTAACCAATTTATGCTCAATTGATAAGCAGCTTATCAACAAGATTTTTTCATGTCTTATTGCAGATACAGCAAGTACTGTGACTTGCAAAATAGGTAAAGCAAGTAGTTATTAAATAGTAACTGCAAGTGGCAAAGTAATCATTACAGGTTAATCTGCTTATGTCACTGCACATATATTATATATCAGCCCTTGGAAATAGGAAAAATGAGGTTGGCATTTATTTGATGGCCTCAAAGTTTTAAAAGTCAGCATCAGCTTAGCAAAAAAAAATGATACAAAGATATTATACAGGGCTAATTCTAAGAAATCTAGAATAGACCCTATATAAAAATTTGGGAGGCAATACCCCTCATTTCAGCAAACTTTAGCAGAAAATTGGCGATATTTCTGCAAAAAAAACAACATTATTTGCCGTAAAAAGGTAAAAAAAAATAAACAGGTCCTCAAATTTTGATTTGGGCGGCGCCCAAATATGGTTGATGCTATCGAAAACAGTCTAGAATAGGCCCTGATATATAAATTGACCAAATTTTTTTCTTAAAAGAAGAGTATATTTCATAAACCCAACAATGAGCTGCAAAAATGGGTCAGATTTTTGTGATGGAAATTAGCATATTTGATCTGTTAATGTAAATATATAAAAATCGTTTAAAAATGCAATATTTAATGACTAGTAATAATTTTAGCTTTTTTGGTAAGCAGCTTTGATAGATATTTCGCCATTACTGATACAGAGACGCTTATAAAAGAGTTTATAAAAGAGACTTCAAAACCACTATTGCACAATATAGTTAATCAATATATTAAGCGAAAGAAGCAAGGAAGACCATCTAATACAACACTTTGTCATATATCTACAAAAATAAGATCAGACTTTGAAATATTATTTGCACATTAATATGATTATTTTTAATTTAACAGTTTAAAGTATAATTATGTTTTGGGTAGGTTATTTAAAATATTTTTTCTTTGCATTTTTAATTTTTTTAAAATTTTAGATGTGAGGGAGGAGGGATTTCAACCATTATCTTTCCCATAAGATAATGGTTAAAACACTGATATTTCACTGTATTAGTATATGTTTTTATACTATTATCTCTTGTTTCAGATTACAAAAAAACTTTTTACATTATTAAAGCATTTTCTATATATTGGGGTATAGAAACATGTTTTTTTGGTCAGTATAAATAGTTGTGAAACTCCCCTTCTGATCTCTGGTACTTCTGATTATGCCAGAGCCACATTTAAATTTTGTTTAAGTAACTTAGAGAATAATAATAATTTTTAATTTACAATTTTTTTTTTTTGGTGGAGAAGGTAGGGGGAGGGAGGTAAGTGGGTAGACACCACACCCTTAACATAGTGTGTGAATCTCTGTTAAATTTATGTTGTAACTTGGAAAAAATAAATTTTCAATATTCATATTAGTTTCACTTGTTTTAACCAACATAAAAGTGTTTATAAGAATTAAACATTTTTGATACTCTGGTGTATTAACACCGTAGTATCAAAAATGTTCAATTCTTATGAACACTTTTCTCTCACCTCTACATTCCTATTCATTATCTCACCCCTCACCACCACATCCACCATTAACTTTAAGATAGACCTCTTATATTTACTGGTGATCTAAAATAAAATAAAAACAATTTTTTGTATATAAAAATTATAAATGTAGTTTATATAAAATAATTTTAGGTAAAAGTGTATATTTAGATTGTAAAGATGATAATTTGATCCCTCTAGCACCTTTAATATGCCTGACAACTAGAGGACAAAACTCAGTTGTAGCCCAATTTTACAGTTATCTTTTGATACCAAGATAGAGGTATTTAGATAAAAATAAACAAAGTTATAACAATTTAAATCAAGAAAAACTAAGTTTGACAGTTTCTTCAACGAAAATCCATATATCCAAAATTTGTTACTTAAAATCTCATAGTTTTTTATAGGTTTTTTCAATTTTGATAACTTTTTCATCTTTAAAATACTGTACTAAAGATCATTCTGATAATACATATAACATTCTAGTTTTTACAAGATACCAAATAATACATACATATATAATGTATGTATGTTACATATATTATGTATTATACTATTTTGAAAAACAAGACAAACTTTTTTACCTCTAGAATACTTATATTATAAAAAAGATAATCTTTTTTAAACCACTTTAATATTATAACTAATACGTGTTTCAATTAAATATTTAAACTCTGCTAAATACCTACGAAATTGATAAATAAAAGTTTTATTTTTATTAAGTTATTTATTTATTATTTAATTATTATATAAATTAATTTTATTAAGTTTTATTAAAACCATTCAAAATTTTATAATTTAATATGTTATTTCTAATCATAAAAAGATATGCTTATTATTAAACTTTACTTGAAATAGTGGAATGTAATATAAAAAAACCTAGCAGAAAAAACTTTTATACCTACTATATAATTTCAAATAATTCAAATTTACGAGTGGATATTTGATTTTAATTTACTTGATTTTTAAAAGATTTTTTCTAATGTTTTTATTACACAATGGTTGAGTCACGTGTAAGAAACCGAATCTCCATCGGATTTTTGGCTAAATACCAGAGTTTTCTTAACTTTACCGGATTATTTTGAAATAAATTTTTTATAACGAATATTTTAACAAGCATGGTAGTAACAATCAGTTTAATCTAGTTTGTCTTGACTTTTAGTATGAAATAATTGAAATGATATTTTCTGGTACTTTTAATAAACTGTACTTTCTTCACTTTGGTTCAACATTGAAATAAAGTTACAAGGCAGAAGACACGGGTTACGAAGTAGGGAAGGGGGATTCACAATTGTCAATTTCTCTCTATTTTGAAATTTTCTACAATATGCTAGTTAAACACTAACATTTGGTAAAATCAATTGGGCTGGGTCCCGTTCAATTTAGGGGTTTAGAGGGCTGTAGGCACGGCACTGGGTGACGAGTCTTTAGACGCAATCAAATAAAGTCATATTGTGACAGCTTTTCTTTATTTACTTCTAATTGTATTATGATTATTATTTTTATCCTTTAATTATCATTGAACTTTACAGGTGTTTATTTCATATTAGTTTTTATTACTATTTGTAAATAACCTTGATGTAAAAACTTTATTCAGAATATATTTGATATCATTTGATTTGGTTTGATGAATCGTTTAGACCTAATTTAATTTTCTAATTATTGATTGTACACAGAGTATAGTTTTTTTTTTCATGATGAAAAAAAAAGTTATACCAAAAGTTGTGCCTTCCGTACGTTTGTAGAACGGATCAATAAAGGTCCGAGCCGATTTTAATATGCACCGCTTTCGCAAAAACTTAGCATTAGTATAGAGGGAAAATCCTCAAACTGTTCCACCTTAAAATACGATTAATTTCGCTATTCTTAGCAAAACTTTGATGAGTTGATGCACAAATAAAGCAGATTTGTTATTATGATTTTTTATGAAGATATGTAATTATCTAGAAAATATTGATTCTGCTTTCGATTTAATATATTGTTTAAAATCCTATTACAACGAACTTGGTTATATTACGAGAAAAACAATGTTTCAAGAAAATAATGAATTAAAATGTGGTGCATTTGATCAAAACCCAACTGGATTAAGAAACTTGAATAAAAATGATGAGTTTGATTTTGATCGCACAAAAGTTTTTTGTCGTTTTGCTGGATGTGAATCTAATGTAAGCTCTAAACATCATACTCTTTGTGATGCTCATATGAATACCAAGAAATGTTGTTTGTCAAGTTGTCAAAACACGGCAGATGAAAATGATTTAGGTAAAAATCAAAGTAAAATAAGTTCTTTAGTTATTAAAAATGAAATAAAATCAACATCTGTTTAAATAAAATATTTATTTAATGTTATAGTGCCTATAACGCCCAACTTGTAATGATATTGTATGAAATTTTTTTTTTTTAAATTCTGTTGAAAAGACTCCTTAAAAAAATTTTTGAATTATTTTGAAAACAAACAATAAAAAAAAAAAAAAGAGAAACATAAAAAAGAGATGTTTTTTATTATATTTAAAATCAAGCTTTTACAGTTTTTCAATACTTTTTAGAATTTTCTAAATATTTAAGATTTGTCAAAGCAAGTCGCAGCCTTAAAATATGTAAAAACCTGCCATGAGATAAAAACAGTTATTTAAAAAAAAAATTTTTTTTTTTCAAAGAACTTCTAAGTTAGGTGGGACTTCAGAGATGAACAGGTGTCTTTAATATTGCAACATATAAGCTGTTTCATGTATTTTTGCAATGCTTAACTAGCATTCAGTTTGACATTTGTTCTTAATTATAAATAATATAATAAAATGTAAACTATATAAATTTACATAGTTTAGACTTATGAGTCTAAACTATGCAGAGTTAGTAACTTATACATCTGTTACAAACAAACATAATATTTAAATAAAATTTGGTGATTAAATAGTTCATATTTTTGAATTGGGTAATACTGTAAACTCAGAAAATATTTTAGCTGGTGTATTAGATTTATTAGTTATAGAGAAGAGAGTAGTGAACCTCAGTATTTTCAAACTTTTACAAATATAAAAAAAATGCAATATGTTCTGTAACAATATATTTTCTTTAACTTGATGATATTAGTTACTCTAGGATTTTTTATTAAACATTCAGACATATTTTTTCATCCCTTCTTTTAATTTAAAAAAATAGCTTACACTACAGCCAAGGTACATCACCGGCAGTGTACCTTGGAGGTATATATGTTGTACCTTAGAGATATTATTATTTTAACAGATTAAGTGCTCAAAATGGTAGAAATTTGATATAATGTTTACTTATAGGATAATAGCTAATATTTAAGATAATATAAATTAAACTAATTAGATTATTATAAACTATACATTAATTTATATAGCTATATATGATTATAAATTTAGACTAAATTAAACTTAAAAGTATTGAAAACTTATATAAAAAAATAGAGTTTATTAAAAAAAGAGTAATAAAAAATGTCTAAATTAAGGTTTAGTAATTTTAAATCTTTCACTTTGACTTATTTTAAAGTTAATGTTTACTTAGTATTTTAAAGTTAAACTATAGCTATAAAAACTATCATTTGATTGTTTTTCCAGCTGTTGCGCTCAACCTCCTGTAATAGAGGGATGTGGTAACTGCACAGCTCAGAAATTTAAGGGGTAAGTTTACTATCGGAGTACCCCAAAAATGTTAATAGTTATAGTAAGTGGGGCATCTGGACACTTCATTTTAATATTTAGAAAAATCTGGGAGGTATCACATTTTTAGAAAATTGACATTGAAAATCTGCTAAAAAGTCATTTTTTTTGTATTTAAAAAAGCTAAATATACTGATAGAACAGTAAAGTTAACATAAAATAACTTTATATTCCAATTTTTTATACTTTTTTAATTTTGTATTAATACATCAACATAATTAGACTGCATTAAGTTGGCAAAAAAAGTTTAGATAATTTAGCTTAAAATTAATTTAGGAACATAGTATGCTTCGTAAATTTAAAAATATTAATAGTATATAAGTAGTTTAGTAGAATAGTAGTATTGTATTCATAGTTGCCTAATAACCTAATATAATATAATAAATACTAAATAAAATATTTTAAATTCGTTTTTACTAATATATTTTTTTGTCTTTTTGAATGAATTTACAAATGTTTTTAACTTAAGATTTTAATAATGTTTTTGTGTTGATGTACAACTAATGTATTTTTAACAACTTATAAACTATTTGAACTGAACACTTCAGCAATTCTTTTGCTTCTTTCCATATGTTTGTTGCTGTACTGCGAAACTCCAAACCGGTTTATTACACTTTTCATCTTGGAATGGCAAGATTTAGATGTCTGCTCGCTAAACTGCCCAAAAGAAAGGCCACTCAAATCAACAAATGTTTCCAGATGTGTGATTACAGCATGTATTTTCCAGATAACCATGAGTTGTTTATCAAAAAACTAAAAAAATTTACAATAAATATGTTTATCAATAACTTGATTTTAAATACAAAGGTTAAGGAATACAGCAATTACCTTTCTGCAATAGTCTTGCGCGTCTTTATAAATTTGTGTAAAACTTTCGAATAAAGTTGAGTAGTTTGGGTCAAGTTTATAGCCAAAGACAGCATGAACAACCTTATTAAACTTTCTCATTGTTTCCAAGAGAGGATACAGTTTAACAGGTACTATCAATCCAAGTTTGTTGCAACTTTTAAGTATCTCTCTACATGTTTCCTTCAAATGTTCCTCCATGGTAATCTTTTCGGAGGCATCCAATGCTCTTGGCCCAATCTGTAAATCCAGACCAAAGCTGCATTATCAGTTCTGTCATATGGTTAACAAATCCCATCAGAAGGTGAAGTTCTGGTAATGGAATCTTCTATCTTGAGTGGACAAGGATTAATGACATTCTAAATAGATGGAAACAATAATTTTTTATCCTTTTAAAAATTGTACTAAACTTGTGATGAATGATACATTTTGAAAATATTTACAATAAACTTATTTATTTATACCTTATATTTCTTCATTTTTTTCACCAGAGATCCTGCAGGCGAATACAGTTCATAATAGTATTTAAAGATTGAAATGTTCTTAACTCTCCAGGAAATAGTTCAGAAGAACCTTCACATCATGCACAGGCATACTTTCCTCCATAGGCCTAAAATTTTATAAAATAATTCAATTTATAAATATATTGTTGAGTAAAAAAACCATTTCCTAATATTGTGTTCACTTCATATGTCTTATAATGTGTTTACTTCATATGTCTTAAAATTATTTAAAAACAACATACCGAAATTCCCAGTAGTATGTTGATTAACTTCATGTCTGAAGCCAATGAGTACTTACATTCATGCAACTTTCTTTCCATAATCCTTGTCCTGTTAAAATGATTCTCACTTACCCTTTCACAATAAACCTATCTTCTGTCCTGTCTGTGATTGGATCAAATAGATTTACTATTACTTTCAATAATTCTCCACCTATAAATATATTAATATACATACGCACATACATATTTGTTTATAAATATGTAAAAATAATATTTTCAAAATATGTTGATTATTAAAATATAAATACCTGAATCTGTCCCAATCTTTACAAATGTGTGTTGTGGAACCTGCCCTCATTATTTTATTACAAAATCCAGAAATTTAATATCTTCAATATATACTAAATTTCTCTTTACTGTAACATTATCGTTTCCTTTTTTAGAAAGTCTAATAATTCAGCCATATAATAGTTCGAAAGTAGTTTTCTTTTTTCATCTAGGGTTTTCTCAATGTTTGACTTAAACTTTACACCACTTCTCCTAAAAGTTTTTAACATTTCAAAAGACTTAAACTGACTAAGCCCTAAGTTATTTACCAAAACTTCTACCTCATTGTAAAGAATCTTTCTCTGATCACTTTCTGAAGTACCAAGTTTAATATATATAATTAATATATATAAGATATGGCCAGGCAGAATTGGATTGGTTCACGTTTTCCTCTAAAATGAAGTGTTAGAGCTGAGTGTTTATTTGAAATGTTTATACTGATAATATTAGGTGATACTAGCTGTTTTACTAAAAAGAGTTTAATATGAGTGATTCCCTATTATTAAGGTACTATCATATTGACCAATAATTTATGCGGGTAAATTATCTGCAAGACAGATTGATTTCCTGATATTTGTGTTAAAGGTAAGATTGTTCTCAGACATCAAATTTAGAAAGATAAATGATAGGTCAGAACCTGTGTCGATAAGGGTTTGTACTTGTATTCCGTTAATTATACCATTTATCAGACCTGATTTTTAATTTATTAAGGCTAAGATTGTGGCCATATGTGGGATGTTAATTTGGTTGATGTCATTATTGCACTCATAGTTTGTTGCTGTACTTTTTATTGGTGTTTTATTTCGATGTTTTGGTTTTATGCTGTTGTTTTGATTTAGTTTGTTACTTAAGCAGACAGTTGCCCAGTGTCCTTTTTTTCCACAGGTATTGCAAGTTGAGTTTCGGCCATTGCAATGGGACCTGTTATATCGTTGACTCCCAAACCAAATACAAGAGTGTTTTGTAGTCGCAAAAATAAGACAATGTTCAGGTAAGGAAAAAGTTTTAGTGTCTTTGATTGATAGTTCCATAGTTGTTGCTGTAAGTAAAAGTTTTTCTAGTGAGTCGTTAGATGATTTTAAGAGACGCTAGCGAATCATTGGAGATAAAAGGCCAGCTACAAATGCATCACTTATTAACATTTCTTTATGTTCGTTTGCGGTTAGTGGTTTATGGGGCATTTTCTTACTAAAGTTTGTAATTTTTCCATGAATTGGTCAACAGAATCTGATTCAAGTTGTTTTGTTGATCTTAGCTTGTGACACATCATTATAGGTGTAGTTTTTTTTGAAAATTTATTGTCTAAAATAGTTAATGCATCTTCAAAGTTCAATTGATTCTTGATGAGTGGGAAGGATTTAGCACCACATTATTATTGCATTATTATTGAATTACTATAGAAATTAAATTAACAAGAAAGTAATCAACTAAAAAGGTTAAAAATACTTTATGACGAGGAAGTGAAACCGCTTCACAATATCGCTGATGATGTTTAGTGAGTGGGTTTTAAATTTTAATTAGTATTTAAAGCAGAAAAAAGTATAACGAGTTTTTAAGAATGGCAACTGAAGCGAAAATAGTTAGAGTTAGTAAGCCAATATCTAGAAACTTTTCTTTATATCTAATTATTTGCTTTATATATTTGTGTTCTGTCATGACCTCAGGCGCGGTGCTTGTTCATC